GCTGCCAGGGAATGCTCACTGCATGCTTCCTGCCCTTGAAAGCTTCTGTCTTACAAGTCCAGCTTTGAGCTCCTCCTGCTCAGCCTGAGCTTCCTGCTGGACTCCAGCGAGCGGATTTCCCCTGCCAGCTCACCCAGCTCCAGCTCCTGGCATTGGGTTTTGCTCCTTCCTGAATGGAGATGGAAAGGGGGTCTGCGGGATGGGGCTGAGCAGGGGGAGGTGCTGCTGCACCAGACTCTCTCAGCACTGAGAACAACGGTTCAGAGAGGGAAATGCTTTTGGCACGCAGGAGTTGCTGGGAGCACAGAATACACCGTTCCCCAAGGACAAATCTGCTATCTGTGTCAGCAGGAGAGATGAACAACCCGAGCAGCAGGATAGCAAAGCACAGCCCCATCCCACTCGTGGCCCCGAGCTGCTGTAATGCTGGCAGTGCTGTGCTGCAGGGAGCAAAAGCACAGGGAAGTGCCACGTTCTGGAATGTGATACGGCTTCACCCAGCTCAGAATTGCTCACGTTCACGTGGAGGAACCGGTCCGGTGTCTCTCAATAGGGAGCCCGGGTGGGTGCAGCAAACAGGGTGCAGTGCATCATTCCCTGTCCCAGTGCCAGGTTCAAAGCCAACCCCGTCTGAGCACAAGAAGCAAGGGGAAGTCGAAACAGGGGTAAAATTGAGGAGAAATTACGCAGGCAATTGGTGTAATGGCTCTCAATTACCGGCTGTATTGGGTTACATAATGATAGCAGAGCTCTGAAATGCTCTGGAAGTGTTTATAGCTGAAGCAGTGTCAGGATGGCTCCAAGTGCAGAACTGCTGCGTGCTGCTGCAGCCCCATCCCAGTGGGTCGGCGCTCCCAGATCCATTCTGCTGCTTACCAGCCCTAAGAACAGCCCACCCTGCTCCTCACAGGGAGCAATGCTTCCAGGATTCAGCCTCTGCTCAGAGCACAGCCCTGCACAGGGGCTCCTCCCTGCCCACCCAGCCAGTGCTGTGGGTCCAAAGCCCCCAGCAGGTAGCAGATATAAGAACCCCCACCACCCTCAGCCCCCTGCCAGGACCTGGCTCTGCTCCCTGCCCTCCTGCCTGGGCTTTGGGCTGTATGTGAGCTCCCAAAATACCTCTGTGCCAGAAGGAAGAGTGGATAAAACAGGTTTCTGAAAAGAGCTGGTGGATGGGATACGGCCACCCCCACCATCCCCACGCAGCCTTTGAGCTCTGATGGCTGATCCATCGGTCTGATTACAGCCACTGATGTTATCACAGAGATCTGCCCGCGGTGTGATACGCTCCCAGCCACAAAAAAAAGGGCCCTTTCAAAGAGCTGGGAGCCAAAAGTTAACAGGAGAAGTAAAAAGGCACCCAACCTCCCCACACTGCAGAAATAATCCCTTCGTTGGAGTCCTCGGGATGCTTACAAATGAGAATGCTTCATTTGTGCTTGACCATAATCCACTGTGCCCAAGCAAAGAAACACTGGGGCTTGGAAGCTTCTCCCAGCACAAGGGAACAGCTTCAGATTCACTTCTTTTCCAAAGCACACGGCCACAGTCCGTCCGTCCGTCCGTCCGTCCATCCATCCATCCATCCATCCATCCGAGCTCACAGCACCACACTGCAGCTCTGCTCCCATCAGCAGACTGCAAAGCCAAGCAGCAATTAGAGCAATTAAAGGTGCAGCCGCACAGCTGGAAGCGATTTAAGCTTCACTGGCAATTCTGCAGCCTGCAGATCCACAAAAGATGCTCACGGGAGTCTCATTATAGGCAAAAGATTGGGGACTGGGGGGGGAATATTGAGGTTCCCTTGTGTCAGAGCTGCAAAAGATGAGAGCTGATGGGTGAGTGGGAGATGATGGAGGGAGCTGAGGGGATGCTCAGGCCCAGGGATATCAACAGCAAGGAGGAGCTAAAGAGGGAGATCCTCAGGGGTGGGGGAGAGAGGAAGGCTGCTTGTCAAGGAGGGGTGTCAGTACCGAAGGAAATAAAGCAGCCCATGGGAACGGGGCTGGGAAGAAAGGCCACAGATCTGCCAGAGCACAGAAAGCAGAGGGGCCACAGTGCTTGGAGAGAGCTAAAATAGGTGAGCTGAGCTGCTGACTCCACGGAGCAGAGGGATCCTGTGGTGCAGCAGGTTGCTCCGCCTCCAATCATCTTCTACATCAAAACCAAAGAGAAAAGATAAGGATGTCAGCAGGACGGCTTCTGCTGGTGCTCCACTCCTCCTCCTCCCCTACACAGCACAGCATTTCCAGCCTGGAGCAAAGCTGGTAAGGAAACACAGAGTTGCTGCAATGGAACAGGTAGAGCCCAGCCCCAGTGGGGTGAGTAGAGTTGGGTTATTGCACAACACCATGAAGCAACAAAACCTCCTCAGCAGGCGTGACCCCACCTGAGGCTGCCATCCCACAGCGATAGGAACAACAGGCCTTCAGCAACAGCCAAAGCCCCCAGTCTTCACCATACTGAGGAAGAAATATACCGAAATTCACAGGTATGTCAGTTTTCATGGCAGCAATAGAGCTGGGTTCTTCCTTTTGACACTTAGCTAGGAACTGCTGCAGCCAAACAAGCAGGCAGCACTGAGCTCTACGTGCCCCCTGTGTTCCCAACGATACCAAGCAGGCTGTCCCTGCTCCTGCTACATCAAGAGAAGCCTTCTCACTGCCCACACAGGACGAGCAGAGTGTATTTCAGCACAGAGTGGGAAGGAACAACTGGCTGTAAGGAGACACAAGCCAGCAGCCTGCAGGCAACCCATCAGTACAGCCCAGCTGGGTCAGTCGGCTCCCAGCATCCCAGAACCTCCTGCAGACCCCACCTGGTTGCAGACAGACCCCAACAGCCCACAGGCTCCTCGAGGCAGCCGCATTTCTGCACCTTGGAGGAGCTGACACAATTCCTGCATCCCCAGGAGCCGAGCAGAGCTCTGTGCCCTGAGCCGGATCCTCCTGCAATGAGCCACAAAGGGACCACGAGCACGGAGAACAGCAGCAGAGGATGCCCAGGGCAGTGCTGCGGGCACAGCAGGCTGGCAGCTCGGTGCTGCAGCTCACGGTTTCCCCCATCGCCGTCACATCCCTCCACGGCACAGCAACGCCGGCTGTCCCTTTGCTCGTCGAGCATCCCCGCGTCACAGAGGTGCCGTGTCAAAGAAACACCTCCGCTTCCTTCTTAAGAGGCGTTTTTCCCGTGAGGACGTGGACAAAAAGCCCTCCTCCTCCTCCCAGCACTCCTTCACACATGGTAATTTGCTTTGTCATGCCGCCGGAATACGGCGCAGCGGTACAGCCCGGAATGCGAGCAGAGCTCCTGTGAGCGCACACACGGACCGGGCGCGGAGCTGCGCTCCCAGCAATGCTGCACGCCTCAAATCAGCCCTTCCCACGCAGTACGGCTGGCAGCTCCCAGCACCCAAACCCATCCCAGCATCAACTGCAGCCCTCTCCATTTTGGGTCACGCCGGGCAGCTTCAAATTACGCCGCATCTCATCTGCTGCGGGGCAGCGAGGAGGAGGAGAAGGAAAACACGGGGCTGGGAGCGCCGGGCTTGGGAGACACGTGAGCCTGCAGCCCAGCGAGGCCGGCAGGGCAGCACAGGGCCGGCACAAAGCCTAAGCTTGCACCCTCAGCCCCACTGACGGACGGCTGCCACCGCCTCCGGGCACGGCACCGCAGCACCGGGCACCGCAGCCCCGCGTCGGAGCCGGGCGTCGAGCGGCAGCAGGAGGTGCGAGGGCAGGGAGCGCCGTGCCCTCGGAACGGCCCCGCCGCGCCGGGATGCGCTCCGTCCTCACCTGCTCGGCCCCGTAGGCTGTGGCGAACTGGACGAACTCCTCCACCCGCACGAAGCCGTCGCCGTCCCGGTCCAGGGCGTCGAAGACGGGGCGCAGACGGGGCTCGTCCTCCGGGCAGTCCCCGCGCCCCGGGGGGGCCCATGGCGGCGTCCCCGCTGCCGGCTCAGCCGCCCACAGGGCCAGCTCCGCTTCCAGCTCCGCTTCTAGCTCCGCTTCCAGCTCCGGGCCCGCCTCCGGTCCCGGTTCGTCCCACCGCGGCCCGGGATCGAGCGGCGGTGCCGGCAGAGGCTGTGCCGGCGGCTCCATGCTCACGGGCAGCGCTCAGCCGCCCGCCCCGCCGCTGCCCGGCTCGCTGCCCGGCGGGTCCCCGCGGCGCGGCCATGCCCCGCGGCCATCACCCCTCTCACATCGCGGCCGGAGCCGCCGCCGTCGGTGCGGTCCCCGGGGCTCCGCCCGCGCCCGGCTTTGTGCGAGGCGGCGCCGGCCCCGCCCGCCTCGGCGGCACCGGAGGACGGCCCCGAGGATCCGCTCCGCCCGATGCTGCGGGGCGGCCCCGCGCGACCGAAGGGGCGGCGGCACCGAACCGAACCCTCCGCCGCCCGCCCGCCCGCGCCGCCTCTCGCGGAGCAGCCGCCGGCGAACCTCCGGATTTACCCCCGCGGCCGCCGCAGTAGCCGCGCGGTGACGTCACTCGCCCACCGCCGTGCCCCGCTCAACCCACCGCGACGCGGCGCGGGGCCGAGCGGAAGCCCCGCCCCCCCGGGACCGGCCTTAAAGGGGCCGCGCGCGGGACGAGCACGTGGGGCGCCCGCCCGAGCCGCTCCCCTGGGTGCCGGTCGCTCCCCTGTAGCCCTTCCAGGCTGCACGCACACAACGTCCCACCTCTCACCTGCCAGGATCTTCCCTGCACGTAGCTGCAGCTTGCGGCCCCTCGGCACAGCCCGGGAAGACGGGACAAAGGACACAAGCCACGTTCCCGACCCTCACGTCTCTCCCTGTCACCAGGGAGCCGGTGGGCATCCCCAGCTGGGGGACAGGCGGTGCTGCAAAGCTCTTCTTTCCTTCAGCACCCTTCAAGCTGTTTCTCTAATCATCGTGCCCGAAGAGAAGGAGCAACACTCAAAGCTTTGGCTGCTGGGAGCTGGAACGGTCAAAATAGATGTGGGATCAACCNNCTCCCCAGGCAGGCAAACAGAGGAGAAGTGGCACAGCTCAGGCTGGAAGATCTTTATTCGTGGCCTGGAGGAAGGAGCAAAACCTGTCAAGTCTACAATCATGTAGGAAAAGAAACCAATCTTCAGCAATCTTTAAAACCAGATTAAAAGAAATCAGGATAAGCTAAAAACCTGCTGTCAGCAGTAGGAGGGCACTGCAGAGCCCCTGGAGCACACACGTTTCATTCCCAGTGCAGCCCCTGCAGCTCAGTGCTGCTCAGCAAAGGCTGAATTTCTGCTAGCCTCTGATTCACCCACCGTTGTGGTGTCTGGACATAGAAAGGGGACAGCACGAGATTGGTGCCAGAGCTATTAGGGCTGACAGACAGTGGGGGGCTGACAGACAGACAGCTCAGGCTCACCACCTTTGTTCCCACGGAAAGGACATCTCAGGCACCTCTGCACCAGTCTCAGTGTGCTGCTGCTCCAGCCAGGAGCCCCCAGAGGAAGTGAAGCTGTCCATCCCCCTGTCAGAGCCACCTTGGTCCTACTTTGTATCCAAGAGCTACCAAGCAAAAGATGCCCTGAGCACTGCAGCTGATCTCGTTCTCCTAGCAGGACAAGCTGCAGATCTGACAGCAAGCACTGGCAGTAGGGAAGTGTATGGCTTTTCCCAACCCAGAATGGGCTGAGCTATCCCCCATCCCAAAAAGGAGCTGCTGCAGGGTCCTATGCTGCTCCCAGGCAAAGAGAGGGGAGAGAGCAGGAAGTGGTCAGATACCCAGGACTGGGACTCCAGAAAGGAAAAACCAGACTAGACAGTGAGCACCACAGCCCATTCCCCTCTGCTATCCTCACAATCTCAGCCACAACAGCTCAGAAGACTGTAACAGTGCAGAGTTTGGGTACACTTGCTTCCCTGCAGCATCCTTGGTGCTCCCTCCCCCAGGCAGGAGTGGGATCAGCAGCATCACCACACTGCTGCTCTCTGCAGCTCTCAGCTCCCACTCTGGGTGACTCCACCCCGAGACGTCCCAGGGAAGCAGCATTCAGTCAAATTTCTGTCCGTCAGTCAATCCCAGGCTGTCCATCATTGATTTTTGTTTGCTCCTGCGGCCCAGACATCTGCAAGACAGCAGGGAGGTCAGCACACACAGCCCTGCTCGAGGACCACGCAGGAGTAGGGTGAAAGGAGACTCCTCTCCCAGAAAGCACCCAGCCCTGGCAGTGAGCTCCGTGGGCACATGCAGCCAAAATGAGCCCTGAGAGCAATGCAACCCCATGATACATGCTGCAATAATTTTTGGACAGGCTGCTCTGGTGGTTGGCGACCCTGCACATAACAGGGGGGTTGAAACTAGATGATCATTGTGGTCCTTTAAAACCCAGGCCATTCTATGAATTCATGCAAGGAAGATAGGGGAGGCAGAGGCTGCCAGGACTCTGTATCCAAGCCTGCTGATGGGGCACAGAAGCAGGTATTATTGCCTTGCCCCAGGGGGCATTTAGAGATGTCCAGACAATAACCTCCAGCAGGAAGAAGAGATCTGCCCACCCCACAGCTCATCCCACGCACATCCCTCGCTTGCTCAAGCAGGAACTGGGTGCAGGGGAGTACTGAAACCCACTCAGGACAGCCCAGCACCCCCCAAGCTTGCTGAGGCACGATGGTCTGAGCCTCAGGAGAGGCAGAGCCTGGCACAACTCGACCAAGGCACTGCAAGAAGGGGCAATGCAATACCCACTGGACCGCAACCATGCCTCTACACCACGGGGCAACAGGGTTTCTGACACAAGCCCTGCTCTAATCCCACAGAGGGGGAAAGGCACGTCACCTAAAGTTTAGCAGAGGATGAAGCAATACCCAGCAAGGCGGAGAAGCTGTTGGCAGAGGTCAGCCAGCTCCCACCATCCACGACCAGTGTGGTGCCAGTCACGTAGGAGGAGAGGGGGCTCGCCAGGTACAGCGCACTGTGGGCGATCTCCGTCTTGTTCCCTGCACGCTGGAGGGGGATCGTGTCAAACTGCTTTGAGTCCTTGGCAAATTTTCCACCTAAATGATGGGAGAAAGAGCCAGCTATGACCACGGGACCTCCTGCCCATCACCACTGCCTGCCAGACACTGCCATCCAGCAGCGCTGCTCGTGCGGTGTCAGTTGCTGAGAGCCCCAGGGAAGTTCAATGAGATGCTGGCACAGCCCTAGGGATGGCCCAGGGACAAAGAGTTCAGTAAAGGGATCTCAAGCACAGCTGTGAAACTTGTAACTGGATGCTGTAACAGTGAGCTTGAGGCATGAGATCTCTGAGCTTTCCCAGCCTCCAGGGCTGAACACACTCACAGATGGACTTCAAGAGCTGAGCCCCCAGGCACAGCAGCTACCTGCAGCACACCACATGAGCTGCATGGCACAGGTGGTCCATGATGGTCCCCCTCCCAGAGAGATACCAGCAAAGCATTGCTGAGACACAGCCAGGAGCCCCAGGGCCTTACCCAGCCGCCGGAACCCCTCGGTGCCTGTGATGGGGCCTGGTGCCAAGCTGTTCACTCGGATGTTGTTGGGACCCCACTCTACAGCAAGGTGACGGGTCATGGCATCTGGGGAGGGGAACACATTACAAAAGGAATGAAAAAGGGAAAGTAAAAACCATTCCACCAACTGTTGTGGGAGGGGGAAAAAAGCCAAGGGAGGTTTTGGCCAAGAACAAAGGGCTCGAGAAAGGAGAAGAGCCCCACGTCAAACATAGGCATATACAGCACCACACAGTAACCACACTGATTCATGTCCAGCTCTCCCACCACAGACATCTTCCCATCCCAATACTCAGGAGCTTCCTTAGTGGCCCCATACAGCTTGCAGAAACTCAGCAAGAAGCACTTAGGTACCTATAGCAGCCTTAGCAGAACCAGCGTGCACCTGGAGGGCTTGCCCTCGGTAGCTCAGAGTTGCTGTGATGTTAATGACGACCCCACCGTGGTCCTGGGGAGAGAAAGGAGATGCAGAATTAGGAGGGAGTGGCATGAGGGTCACATAGGAGCATGATGGGCTTGGAGGGAAGGTCACTCGTGGGCACAGACATCCCTGTGTTGCCAACTCACTGAGCAGGGCCCTGCCAAAGAAGTGGGAGGTACAAGCAACGAGCAAAGACCAAACTAAACAGAGGAGCAGCAGTTTGCAGCTTCTTCCCAGACAGGTGGCAGAGCACAGACAGGTGCTACACAAATCAACGCCCTGTGGCTAGGGACAGGCAGGAAACAAAGCACAGCTCTCACTTCTGGCACAGAGGCTGCAGTCCCCAGAAGGGGATGGACTGGATTCAGTGAGCAAGGCAGGTGGGGCAGGCTGACAGAGCAGTGCTCTGCTCCCTTCCACCTTTTAGGATTCACCAAAGTGTGCTTTGCACAGCACTAACCTCCTCCTTACCAGGAGGAACTTACACGGAAATATTTCTCAAAGAGGATTTTGGAGGTGTTGAAGGTGCCAAGAGTGTCAATATCCATCACTGTCTTGAAGGCGTTGAAGGACAGAGCGCTGGCTGGGCACAGAAAGTTTCCTGCAGCACCTGAGGACAAGCAGTTGGGGTTACAGTCAGCTCAGGACACTTCTGTGAGGGGGACAGCAGGCAATAATGCTTGGGTAAGGCTGGTGATGAAGTGGAAACAGTTCCAATAATGGCCTGTAGCTCTAGGTATCTAGGGGTGATTCACAGTGAGAACAATAAAACTCAGTCTCTTGTTTCTCTGAGACTGTCCCCTCTGTGCTGCTCTCAGGGGTTCACACCATCAGTTGCTCAGATGCTCCCAGAGCAAAGCAGCATAAGCCAGACAGAGCAAATACAGCTCGTGTGCTGGAGAACACCCTGCCTAACAGACAGCCTGTGCCATCTCTCCCACAGCACGCTCCAGTGGCTCACCATTAACCAGGATGTCAATCTGCTTGAACTGTTTCAGTGTCTCATCCACTGCTGTCATGATGGTTTGTGGCTGCCTGACATCTACGGACAGAGGCAGGCACTGCTGCCCTGTGGCTGCAACCAGCTTTTTTGAGGCCTGAAAAAAAGAGAAAAGCAAGATTCTTTCTGGGATTCTGTTCTTCAGCAAGGGCCAGACCCAGATCTCACACAAGCAAGCAAGCTAGGAAGAAGCTGCATCCCTGTCAGCACAAAGCAAGCACAGGCATTACCCACATGAACACAAGTCATGTCTTGTTCCAGAAGCAGCTGCATTTCATCAGCCAGCACAACCATCATGTTTCTAAACAAAAAAAGCCAATACAGCCCTTAGGCAGGGGAGAGAACTGTCCAAACACAGCCAGGGCACCTGGGGAGCCAGAGACAGCTCCTGCACATCATGTCCCATGTAGGGGACAGATTGCTAAGTCCAACTGTTTCCACAGCCTTTACAGACACAGCACACCCCAAGCAACAGCTCTGCAGGGCAGGTACAAAGGTTGGACCCCGGTGAGGTCCTGGAAATAAGTAACCTTTAGATCCAAAATGTTGGTGGGTAAAAGGGCAATTGCTAACCAGCAGTTATCAAGACTCTGCCTGCGAGGTACAGGAGGCAGCTCAGCATGAAGCCATCGCCAAGGCCCGAGCACTGCATACAAACTGAGCCACAGCCCCACACAACAGCTGGTGATGTCCTGCATGCCCACATGGGATCCTCAGGCCGTTTTCTGAGAAGCTTTGAGCTGACCACAAGGCACGCACAGGTCAAGGCCTTGGAAATCAGCACCTGTGCTCTCAGAAGGCTCCAATCCCTCAGGACTAAAAAGCTGCTGAGTTTCGCTGCTTGTTTTCTGACACATGAGCATGAAGGAATGCACAGCAACAGAGCTAAGTGCCTCCAGGCTGGGTCATGCCACCTCAGCCCCAAGTACTCAGTTTGCTCTTTATTATATTTCAGTGAACTCTCTGTGATCCCTGCAAAGCTCTCTTGTGGCCGCTTCCAGCACAGAGCAGCACACGAGCCCAGCACAGCTCCTCCTGTCCCTGCACCTAAAACACAAAGCACAACAGGGATTTTGAGGCTCAGAGCATCTGCACCACCCATATAAAGGGAACTCATAGAATCACAGAACAGCTGGAGTTGGAAGGACCCTTTAAAGGGTCTCTCATCAGCAGAGGGGTGGCCAGCACTGACAGGGAGCTGACTGTCCCTCTCTACTCTGCTTTTGTGACGCCCCATCTGCAGCACTGTGTCCAGGTCTGGAGCCCCCAGTACAAGAAAGACAGGGAGCTGTTGGAGAGGGGCCAGAGGAGCCACAAAGATGATCAGGGGACTGGAGCACCTCCCCTGCAAAGACAGGCTGAGGGAGCTGGGCTTGTTCAGCCTAGAGAAAAGAAAGCTGCGGGGTGACCTCATTGCAGCCTTTCGGTACCTAAAGGGAGCCTACAGACAGGAGGGGAATCAACTCTTGGAAAGGGTAGATAACAGCAGGACAAGGGGAAATGGTTTGAAGTTGAGGGAGGGAAGATTGAGGTTGGCTGTCAGGGGGAAATTCTTTACAGAGAGAGTGGTGAGGTGCTGGAACAGCTGCCCAGAGAGGCTGTGGATGCCCCGTCCATCCCTGGAGGTGTTCAAGGCCAGGCTGGATGGGGCCCTGGGCAGCCTGGGCTGGTATTAAATGGGGACGTTGGTGGCCCTGCATGCAGTAGGGGGTTGAGGTTTCGTGATCCTTGAGGTCCCTCCCAACCCTGGCCATTCTATGATTCTGTGAAAGGCCACCAGGTCCCGCACTCCGCACTGAACACGGACAGCCATACAGCCACATACACCCCGCAGCCTCCCTTCAGCTCCCGCTCCCTCCTCACCCCGCAGCCCGGCGCTCACCTCGGCCACACGCTGTTGATTCCGGCCGGCGATGGCGGTCCGACAGCCGTGCCTGCAACGGAGGGGCGGTGAGAACGGCCCGCGGAGCCCCCGCAGGGCCCGGCCCGGCCCGGCCCGTACCTCATAAAGATCTCCGCGATGCGGAAGCCGATCCCGGAGCCGCCGCCGGTGATGAACGCCACGCGGCCCCTATAGGAGAGGAACGAGGGGACGTGAGGAGCGAACCGGGCCGCCCCGATGCTGCCCGGCCCCGCACGGCACTCACGCCAGGATGTCGGGGCTGAAGAGGTGCCGGTATTCCCCGAGGCAATCATCGCCATCCACGTCCGGCGGCGGATCCGAAGCGCCGCGCTGCTCCGCCATGGCTACCGCACTGAGCGACCCGCGCCCGCGCGCAGCACGCCGGGACGCCCCGCCGCAAGGCACGCCGGGAGCGGAAGTCTGACGCTGGGTATGCCGGGATCTGTAGTTTCAGCCCGCGCCGCAGCTCTTCGCGCATGCGCGGGCGTCAGCAGCCGTCGCCCGGCAACGGCGCGGGGCTGGAGCGCGACTCGCAGCGCCGCCCGCTGTCACACGCGTGTCCCCAGCGGCGGACCGGGCATCTCGTCCTGCCCGCCGTGCCTCCCAGTTCCCCCACCGCAATGCCAGGTCACTCAGGGGTCTCCCCGTGCCCCCACGCTGCCCCCAAGGACGTCCCAGTGCCTCCCAGTTCCGTCCCAGTGAGCCCACGTGACATCTCAGTGCCACCCAGCGACATCCCAGCGCCCCCAAAAGACATCCCCGTGTCGCCCAGTGGCTCCCGATGGCGTCCAGCACTTATCAGTACCATCCCAGTGACGTCCCATTGCCCTCCAGTGCCCCCCAGCACTTACTGGTGCCTCCCAGAGTTTCCCAGTGCCCTCCCAGCAGCCCCAGTGACATCACCGTGCTTCCCAGTGTCCCCCCCAGCACTTCTCCGTGACACCCCAGAGCTGTGCGTTGCAACTCCATGATACACCAGTGCCTCCCAGTGACATCCCGCACTTCTTGGTGACATTTCAGTGTGTCCCAGTGACGTCCCACTGCTCTCTGCTGCCCTTCCCAGTGCCAGTGCCCCCCATGACCTCCCACTGTCTCCCAGTTCCACTCCGGTGATGCCATGCGATAACCCACTGCCATCTCAGTGACATCCCACTGCCCCCAGTGACACCCAGTGCTTCTCAGTGGGTATCCCAGCACCTCCAGCATTTCTTAGTGCCTCTTGGATCTCACCAGTAGCCTCGCAGTGCCCCCGGTGACATTTCTGTGCTTCCCAGCATCTCCAGCACATCCCAGTGCTTCCACAGTGAGGATTCAGCGCCATTCAGTTCCCACTCCATACCATTCCAGTACCCCCAGTGACATCCAGCACTTCTTGGTTACATCCCAGTGCTTCCCATTGTCAGCCCAGTAACACCTCGGTGCTGTCCGTTGTCCTCCAGTGACATCCCAGTGCCTCCAGTACTTCCCAGTGACATCCCAGCGCGTCTCACCACCACCCCAGTTTCTCCTCATTGACATCCCAACGCTGACCATTGCCCATCAGTGACATCCCAGCGTCCCCCAGCACCTCCTGCTGCCTCCCAGTCCCCCCGGTTCACACCCCAGCGCTGGCGAGGGACAGGAGCAGGGCAGCAGAGGAGGTGCAGTGTTTAATAGCACGGGGGTCTCAGTGCCCTCATGGCCCATAGGTGTACTGGCTATCTCCGCTCTCCCAGGCCACCAGCTCATTCTGTTGAAACCAGAAGCCAATCTCCCGCGACGCCGTCTCCACCGAGTCGCTGGCATGCACCACGTTCCTGTGCAGGGATAGGGATGTGATCGCAGGGCTCAAGTGCCACCCCCTCCCCGTGTGCCCTTACCTGCTGACGTGCATGCTGAGGTCCCCCCGGATGGTCCCTGCCGCTGCCTGTGCTGAATCCGTGTCCCCCACCATGGCACGCGTGGAGCGCACCACGTTGTAGCCCTCCCACACCTGCGGGATGGGGGACAGCTGAGCCCCACAGCCCCGCAATGGGGTGAGATGCAGTGGGGTGAGGGCAGCTGCTCACCATGGCCACCAGCGGCCCCGATGTCATGTAGGCTAGGAGAGCGGGGTAGAAGGGCTTCTGCTTTAGGTGCTGGTAGTGACGGTCCAGGAGGCCCCGATCCGCCTGACAGCACCATAAAGTGATGCAGGGACACCCAGGAGATGGGGGTCCATGCACACCCCCACCCCTCTCTTGCAGTGCCGGTACCTGCAGCAGCTTCATGGCCACCAGCTTGAAGCCGCGCCGCTCGAAGCGCCCGATGACATCGCCCACCAACCGCCGCTGCACTGCGTCTGGCTTCACCAACACCAGCGTCTGCTCCCGCAGCTCCGGGGGGGCTGGGGGGCACGGGGTGACTGTGGCTGCACAGCCCCTTCTGCATCCCCATCCCTATCCCTGTCCTTATCCCCCAACCCTGACCCCAGCCCCGCTGTCACTGCGATGTCCCCCATGCCCCGAGCGTGGGGTAGGGGGGAATGCGTGCCCCAAAGCTGTGATAAGCATTGAGGACACGTCCAGCAGGGACCAGCGTCCCCATCGCTGTCAGAGCTGTGCAGGAGGAGCAGGGGACAGCGCGTCCGCGGACAGGAAAGGGGATGGCTCTGAGAGAGCTCACCCCACGTTCCCTGGGGGATGCTCCGTGTCTGCCCCCGGAGATCCCAGCACCAAACCCCAAAGAACGGGGACAGCAGGACGGGATGGGGCAATGGAAGGAGATGGGGAGGGGTCCCTAAGGACAAGGCAGGGAGAGGAGAGGGGGAAGGATGGGGACCGGGTCCTTAGGGGCATAAGAGGATGTGACGGGACGGGGATGGGGACCGCCCGCAGGGTCGGGCGGGGCCGGGTCTCACCGGAGCCGTAGCAGCGCGGCGGCCCGAAGGGGAGGCGGATGCCGGGCTGACCCCGCAGCAGCCCCCGCGCCAGGCAGCGCCCCAGGGAGCCCATGGCCGGGGCGGGAGGCTCGGAGCGGGTCCGGCCGCCCCGCGGGGAGGCTTTAAGGGCCCGGCGGGACCGGCTCGGCCCTCCTCTTAAAGCAGCCGCGGCCGCGGGGAGCCCCCGGTCCTGGGAACAGCCATCCCGTGTCCCACGCGTCCCATCGAGGGCTGCGGGGAAAGGGATGAGCGGGTACCGCAGCCCGGCTGCTCCACGGGCAGACACACAGCTTTTCTGAACACCTTGGGGAAACACAGGGATCTGAACGAGCATTTCAGACACCGGGGAAGAAGGAGAGGTTTCCAGCAGCACGAAGGGCTCGCAGGTCCTCCCAAGCTGGGCTCGGGCCCCCTGCCAGCTGCTGCCCTTGATCCTCCGCTCAGCCAGGGAAAAACACGCACTTTCACCCTCGGTCAGCAAACAGAGAAGAGCAACCAAACATTTTGCAAGAAGCAGAAGCATCAGCACAGAGCCCCGGGGAGGCAGTGGGACAGGCAAAGCCCCATCCAGCAGTTCCATGCAGGAGCTGCAGGTGCTGTGAGCAGCCCTTAAGCCCTCCCAGCTGCCTGCACGCAGCCATCTATCTCCCTTTGCAACCACATCTGGGAAGGCTTCAAGGTGAACACACGCTCCAGACGAGGGCAGGAAACTCCAGCATCTCAACCTGTCTGAATGGGGACAGAGGCTTCAATCTCACACTCCAGTGGCCTCCAGCCCAGCTTGCCCTGCGGTGCAGCCCCACGTGTGTTTGGAGGTGTTCCTCCTGCAGGCTGTTCTCCGTGTATTCAGACAGCAGAATGCCAAAGGAACAGAGATCCCACCAGGAAACAGGGAACAGAGGTGGTAGGTGAAGCCGCTGGGCGCAGCTTGGTGACAGCCTGCATGGAAACTAAAACAGAGGGAAGTTATTTAAAACAACAAAGTAAGCACTTTATTTCCATGAAGCATGTTGTTTTAGTATCACAATGGAATGATGAGAAAACGTTTAAAAAAAACCCGAAGAAGTCTCTAATCCCCGCTGACAGCAGGGAGGTTTTCAAGGCAATTTAAAAAACAAAGGGAGTGACAGAAGTGCCAAAACAGTCCCCGACATCACAGTCCCCTCCTCCTCCCAGAGCCGGGCAGGGCAAGAAGGCGGAATGACACGAAGGTACGAATGGCTGAAGCAGTCTTTGGCGCTTCTGCCTCACGACTGGTACACACGAGGTCTCTCAAGACGACTCCATAAACATCTCCGGGCGCAACAGAGCGCTCTGTCGGTGGAACAAAGCCCGGTGAGCTGCTGTGCCCCGCGGCTAGGAGCTGAGACACATCCTGCAGCCAGCACTGTGGCCTTTGGGATGGGAGAGAAGGAAGCGTGGTGCATGAATCCAAACAGATGTGCCCACCTGCGAGACACCGCGTCCCGCAGTGCTGACAAAGCAGCCAGGAGAGAAGGTGGTGGCAAAACGAGACATGGATCTGTTCCCTACAGTGATCAGAACACGAGTCCAGTGCAGTAACTATAGCTTCACAGTTCCGGGGGGCAAACTGTCATTGCAAAGTCTGTAGTAACGCAGGTCATTCACCAGTCTGTGCACATTTTGGGTAAACGATGGCAGGTCCTGAAAGAGATCAAACAACACGTTGTACTGCAAACACAGGAATACCTACAGGCACCACGGGATAGCAGGGAACAGAAAGGGAGCATCTGGTGCCCCCACGTATATCCATACATACGCATCTCCTCCAGCATCTGAGCCCAGGAAACCTGAGTTTCTGCAGCCCATGTGCAGGGAACAGAGGCTGCTCCTGAGCTGCTCCAAGCAGGAGCTGACTGCACAGAACCAGGCCCTGCTCGCAGCACTGGCTCCTTGCTGTGCACTCAGGCACAACACAAATGGCCACGGCATGGCCATCTGCAGCAGCAACTGCTCAGAGTGCTCCTGCCAAGGCTCCAGTTCCCACAAAGCTCATCACAAGGCTGGTTTCCCTGAAGAGCCCTTCAAGGAATCTAATCGCCTACTAAAGATTCTCTCAGAGCTCCTTCTCTACCCCCTTAAACCTGGGGTCTCAAATCCCCACTGTCTCCCATGGGAGAGGAATCATCAACAGACAATGAGACTTCAGCAGACTGAAAGCCAGCTGTACTGCCATGAGAGAGGTGGCAGCTCCCCCGGCTGCAGCCATAATCCTCCAACATCTGGCTAGCAGCTGGAGCAAGGTTTTGGCAAGGATCTGTGTCCCACTAGCAAATGTCAGTCTACCCTTATGAAAGCTCCCCCCGGGGAATATATTAGAGCTCTAACTCCCACGGAATAAGCAAGTCCAAGAGATGAGATGGCAACTTTGCTACCTACAGCAAAAAATCCAATGCTAGGGCACCACTGACTATGCAAGTGTTTGTAACAGTGGTACCACTAAGGAGCCCATGGCTATCGGCCCCACACTCTGAGAAAAGCACTGCCCAGCCCAGGAATCCTTGCACTCCCCTGCTGCACTCTCCCTTCTTACCCTGTCCATTTTGAAATTCCTTCCCAGCACATTTTTCTGGTTTGAGTCCACACCGTCACAGCTGGCCAGGAACTCAGGGAGGAAGGCTGAGTAAAAGCCATCAAAGTCCACTGAGGCCATGTTGTAGGTAGCAATGCCAATCTCCTCCTGCAGCAGGTCATGGGATTTGTGGACAAGCACCTGGAGCAGCACATTCACAAACTGGAACAGCATGGTTGTCCGAAAGATCTTCTGCACAGTGAGAGGAGGACACAGTCAGGCACCTTCACGCCAGGGGGGAGCACAGCACAGCTTTAGAAGTGAGAGCTCGTGGAGGTCAGATGGGCACATGGACATGGCTGCACTGGGTCACTTAATACCTGCAGTTTCTGAGCTATTAGCAAGCTCTACAAGCCCTTGAGAGCACAGATATTATTTTCCAGTCTTAGCCAGGCCAAGATCTCAAGTACCTACTGCAAAATTACCTGTGAACTTGGTCACACTTACCTCATATCTCTGGTTCAAGTTTTAAACATTAGCATTCAAGGAAACAGTATCAAGTCCTATTTAAACTCCCAAATTTTAGCCATGCACTGTGTTCTAGAAAGCAGTCAGTGTTCCTAGGGAACCTGGTTGGCTGCCTGAATGTCTGAACAGGCAGCTGCTAACATGATGGCCTGCCCTTCAGTTGTGATCACAGACAGAAACCTGAAAGCTCTGCCTCCAAAGGCTAACCAGAAGGGCAAGACCCTGGACTGCAACTCTCATTCTTTGTGGCAGCAGCTAACAAATCTAAATCAGAGGTTTTGGAGGATGGGTGCCACATGTCAGCAATGGGCAACCACCTCACAGTCACCCAACTAAATAGTAAACAGCCTGCTGCTGGTCCACACGAGAAGGATGGAGAGACTCCACCACTGTCTCACTTATGAACCATTCAATCCACCAATTTCTGCTTTGTAAGACAAGTCTCCCTGTCACTGTGTGTTCTTTGCTTTCCCTCATTGTCACAGGAGGACACAGACCAAGACTGGAAACAACTGGGGTTCCTCCTGTGCCCGGCACAGCAATGTCAGTGAGGTGGCAGTGTCACTTTGACCAGCAATGTCCTCACCACAGCCACAGCAAACAAAGGATGCAGTAAATAAGCCCCAAATCCTGACCTTCAGTTTGTGAGCCATCTGGAAGCCTAAAAGGCAGCCTTCCACTTTCACAAAGCCGTTTCCAGCTTCCTTGGACTGGAAAGCTCTCACTTTTAACAGCTCTTTGTCTGGCACCTGCCCACTGGTAAGCTCAGACTCACCTTGTGGTACAGCTTTTGCTTGGTGTTCAATGTCTCCAGGTAGAAGAGATTCTGCTTGAACAGGTGAATGTCAGGCTGCAGGAAGGACTGGCCAAATGCCTGCAAAGTAGAATCAAGGGGAGGGGATTGATACCATAATGAATATCAAAACTGACAGGCAGAACAATGTTTTCACCCCAACACCACACAGCGTCTGTTTACAGATCTCCTGAAGCAATGCCATGATGTTGTTTGACATGCATGCCAACAACTCAGCTTTTTGCCAACTGTGTTCAGGTGGGAGGAACAGGACCTTCTGGTGCCACGTGCCAGGAGAACAAACCCCTGGCAGCTTCTGCTGCTTCTCAGTAAAACCTTTTTGTGAGTCTGCTGAAGTCAACCTTGTTGCCAGACTGGAGGGAATGAAGAAACTTTAGTGGCCATGTGCTCAAATCCCTGCAGAACAGTTTCTAAGCTGGGTTTATTGGGACCACGTATCACCACGCACTGAGAAGGAACAAGAGATGCTGAGCACAGTTCCCTGACAGTTTACTTGTAAAGGATATGTCTATTTCTCAGAAGAACCCAGAGTACCATGGTGAGCATGAATAAAGCCAGAACATACTCACTGCTCTTGCTGTTTATCTGCATCTAGAGGGCAAGATGACTGGCAGATGTGGTTAAGATGCTACTGCAGTAAGCTATAAGTTATGGGTGAGGACTGGGAGGCAGACCCAGGCATACCAAATCCCTCAACAAGATCTGCTGGATCCCACTGAAGCATGGTATGCCTGCATAGACTCTGGGATAAAGCACTTTTGAAACACTATATAGATGAGCAGAAGCAGACAGTAGAACCTTCATGGTTGCTGCTCCAAGATATCATGAAGATATCAAAGGTTATTCCTTTGCTATAGCCATTTATTGCTAGATGGACAGAGATGGCCCTGATCTGTGGAAACCAGCACGTGAACTACTAACACTAAACAAGACACTGGCTGTTCTTGCAGTGAAAAACACTCACAGAACATTCAGCTTTTGCACCAAAGCAGCAGTGCCCAAGCAGTAAAACTGGCCCAGCAGTGCCAAGCAGCCTGCAGCTGTTACTGAGACAACTTCATCAAGCTTCCCCCAAAACAAGATGCTGAGGCAAGTGAGGAAATGTTAAGCTGCTACAGGAGAAAAAAGAAGCTTGGGTAGCTCTGGACAGGGGCAGCTCTGGTCTCCATTCACAATAATGCTAAAATACAGAAAGTAT